GAGGGTGGTAGACGGTTATTTCGTGTTGGGTGCTTTTGGTCCTAAGAGCTCAGCTGGGTGGGGTAGGGTTGGGAGCTGTTTCCAGTCCTGGGTGGTTCCCCACCTGCTTTCTGCTCTGGTAATGTTCAGGCTCCGGGAATTGTCTCTGAGTGAAAGAATTTTGGTTTCCAGTGGTATTTGTGCTGTTAGGGTTTGACCCATGGGCTGGTGAGCAGAGAGGTGGTGAGGTGTGCATGTGACTTGGCTGATGGCCTAGAGGATGCTGAGCACGAGAGCCGTTGGGCCACATGGACATGGAATGAAGTAGAAGGGGCCTCAGCCACTCGGCCAAGTTGGGCCCAGTGGAACAGCATTCTAGATTTAGTCTGACGCTCGTGTGAAGACTGACACGTGGGGAAACTCTCCCAAATGGCTTATTGTCTCTTACACAGAATGCCCTTTGAAGTGATTGCATTTGACAACCCAGCGTGTCTGGCACACAGCTTCATGCTATCTGAGGTCACAGTCCAGTCCTGACTCCTAGCAGAAGCTTCAGAGGCATATTTCATAGCTCTGGTAGGTCATCAAGTATGAGAATATGAGGGTGAGCATTGTGGGGGGGAGAGAGAGGGAGGGGATAAATATGCCATAAAGCCTTCCAGTGGCACAGCATAGTGGGTTTGAATAGAGGTGATAACAACAGATCTGGAGCCAGATCCTGTCCTGCCACTTACTTCTTTGGGAAGTCACTTAAACTCTGTGAGCCTCAGTTTCCTCATCTGTAAAATGGGGGGGAAAACCAGTACTGGCCTTAGAGGGTTGTTAGGATAGAATGAAATTAATCAAGTAAAGCACCTTCCAGAGTGCTCTGTCAGTTGGGTGGGAAGTGAGGTGATTAGCTTTGTTAGATGCATCTCTTGATAAAGAACCAAATTCTCTGCTTGGTTGCTTAGTTAAGACCAATACCAGAGTAGACCAGTACATGCCTGTTTCTACAGCCTAATTTAGGGGTTGATTGTAATGGTAAGTGATGCTCTAGAGACGGGGTTGTTGTCCCTTATGGCTTCTCTGGGGCAGTATAAGCCTCTTGGCTCTTTGAAGGAAAGATAACCAATGCTTATCCTAGAGGGGTATTGATCCCTATGTGCTTTTGTTTACTTGTTTTTAAAGAATTATTTAATTTTATTTATTCATTAATTCATTTAAATTTGATCAGAGAAAGAGAGAGAGAGAGAGAGAAAGAAAGTGAGAAAGCAAGCCACCAGGTCTGGGACTCAAACCATGGTTGGCCATGTGGGAATGTCCAGCACCTTTGCCACCATGCCACCTGCTAGGCCCAGTTTTTGTTTGTTCTTTGTTCCAACTAAGTAATATGTTAATGTGAGAGAAGTGTATGGTGGGGAGGGGTTTGATTGTGTGTTAATAATTCCACTTACGAGAAGAAGCCATGGGCCTTCAGAACAAGGTTCCACATGGCTACCGTGAACTAGATTTTTAAGGGAATGAAGATTTTCTACTAATAATTCAGCCTCCAACAAACGAGCTAGCGCAAGCACAATAGAACAGCAAAGAGATTCTGGATCACCTCTGTCTGCTTGCTCCTGAACATTAAGGCTGAACCTCAAGAATTTGAAAGAAACACAGCATTCATCAGATGACAAGAAATCACCGCCGGATCACGAGAAACATGGGAAAACAAGAAAATACCTCTCCTCCTAGGGAAAAGAGTAACTCTTCACCCACAAGCAGTTCGGTGAAAATCATGGAAATGTCTGATAAGGAATTCAGATCATTCATAATGTCTAAGCTAACAGAGATGGAAGAGAAGAGAGATAATGAACTGCTAAAGAGAAAGGAGAAAGAAATTGACGAGTTCCAAGAGATGAGGAAATTCCTGCAAGATCTAAAAGTGGAATTACACACTTTACAAAAGACTAAAACGGAACTACTAGAGATGAAGTCTATAATACAAGAAGTCAAAATCTCCCTGGAAAGCATTAAAAGCAGACTAGATCATTCAGAAAATAGAAGCTCAGATGTAGAGGAGAAAATGGCTGGCCTAGAAAAATCCACCATGAAGACTGAGAAAATGGCACAAAAATTTGAGAATAATATGCGAGAAGTACTGGATACCATCAAACGTCCAAATATCCGTATAATTGGCATTCCAGAAGGTGAGGAAACCCATAAGGGCATTGATAATCTATTCCAGGAAATCCTGCAAGAAAACTTTCCAAACCTAGAGAGGCATTCAAAGATCCAGTCCCAGGAAATACAACGGACCCCAAATAGAATCAACCCTAGAAGATCTTCTCCAAGACACATTATAGCCAGGTTGACCAAAACTGCAGACAAAGACAAGATACTAAGATTAGCAAGAGAAAAACATCAAGTTACCTACAAAGGACATCCCATCAGGCTAACAGCAGATCTCTCATCAGAAACAATAAAAGCGAGGAGAGAATGGGAAAATATATTCCAAGTGTTAAGAGAGAAGCAGTTTCAGCCAAGAATACTGTATCCGGCAAGATTATCTTTCAGGTGGGAAGAAAAGACAAGAACATTCTCAGATAAACAAAACCTGAAAGAATTTACCAGCACCAGACCAGACCTCCAAGAAGTTCTCAAGGATGTGCTGTATCAGGAAAACTAAACGCAGATACATGGAAATAAGAGTCCAAAAACTGAGAAAGTAGCTAACTTAATCATAGGGACAAGTCTGGAGTTGAATACTATATCCCAGAATTTAATCAGGAAAATTGAACCAGAACAGAAGATAAAAGTATATGAGACTGATAGGTTCATGCACCTACCATTTGAACAGAATCCTAACCTGTTTCCGGGCTTTAAGCAAAGTTCCTTGGCGGTTCTTTGATTTAAGTTAAAACTGGTTTTCTTAGTAGTAACGAGGGAACTCACCTTTGAAAGTAGTCAGGTTATGTAGGAAATTGTGTGATCAATGCAATGTGGGTGGGAAGGGAATGGAGGACAATTTTGGACACTAGAGGTGGTGTGAGAGGAGGGTGGGAAGGGACAGAGGGTCAGAAAGAGGGGTGGAATTAATTCTAGCAACTAGAAGTGGAAATTTATATTTTTTGTAATGTGCATGATTGAGTCACTATGCAGTGTGTACTGGATGGGAGATCGCATTTTGTGTGCTGTGATGATGCCTAGAGAAGGAATGTAAATTGAGTTACAAAAAAGAGTTTCAGGAAAACAAAATATATCTATTCAATGACTGCAGTAGGATATGTAGCCCCAGTTAGGTGCTACTTGATAGGATGCGTAAAGTTAGACTTGTGCTCATGGAAATGTGTCACATGTGTTTGCTAGGAGGGTATTTGGATTGATGAGGGTCTTTGGTGATTCAATAAAATGTGGGGGGAAAATGGTATAGAAAGCAAACATAGATAACAGAGAAAGTGTGGGAGGATGAAAAAAAAAAAACAAAAAACAAAAAAAAACATCCCTCCTAGAAAATTTCCAATCATTCTTCAAATGTCCAAAGTCAAATATTTTCTTGCTGTACAGTTTTCATATAATTATCAAAAGGAAAAAAAAATAAAAAAAATAAATCACCCAAAAAAAAAAAATAATAATTCCACTTACATCTTTCCTGAAAGTATACATACTCTACAAATCAAGTCGCTGCTCTTTGCCATTGGCTGATAGAAATAGCAATAATAGCTACTGTGTGTTAAGCACTTACTCCATACCCCTATACTGGCTGGCACTGCATACTGTGGATTGTCGACCCCTTTCATGAAGAAGGAAACTGAGATTTTCAGAGGTTGAATGACTTGTGCAAGGTCACACACCTTGCAGAGGGCAGAATCGAGACCTGACTATTTGCCAGAATCATGTACACAGTGCTTCTGTCCTGCCTCTGAGATCTTGGTCAAAGTGGCGTGTGGGGTCAGACGGCGTGTGGGGTCAGACGGCCATAGGAAATACTAAGTTTTCGCCACTGAGGAACTCCTTTGGTGGGGGCTCCTGGATTCACTGTTGGCTGCTGGAGGCTAGAGTACTAGTTTCCATAGCTAGTTTTTAACCAGGTGCATGGCAGGGTGCTCTCATAGTCGCCCTGGAAGACCACCCAGAGAGATAGTCTAGGGTAAAACGAAACCGCAGCTACTTTCCTTTGAAGGCCTGGACACACACACACACTCACACACACACACTCACACTTCATACCTCGTAGTGTCATTTGTGCCAACTTTGTTTCTGTGGGTGTCTTTCAGTTCAGCTAGAACCTATGGGGATGCCTTGGTTTTGCCTTTGTACAAAGGAGAATTAAATCAGAATCTCTTTTCTTCTCTTTTTGTTCAAAGGTGTAGGGTAACAAAGTGTCCTAGATTTTTTCTTATTTTTTTTTTGGATAGACCAAAGTTTAGATATTTTGCAGTGTTGTGTGAGTAAAAATGTCCCAGGAAATCTGGCCAGGTGAGTTGCAATCGAATCAAGGCAGTGATCATGGCAGTCAGTGCCCTGTGCCTTGGCTGCAGGATTCTAAAGTTACTATTTTAGACTTCGAAAAAATGAGATCACTATTGATAGAAGAAGAGTGACAGTCTTTGTTCTGCATCTAGGAATGGTAGAAGGAAGTTACTAGTAGGAAGCAAAGATCAGCTTACTCCTCATCGCGGAGGTGGATGTGTGAGTATGAGTGCCGTGTGTGCATGTGGGCATGTGTGTAGAATTTTATTAAATTCAAAATGAAATACACACACACATTAAGAGAGATCTTGTTTATTTCATGAGAGAAGAAGAGGCAGGGTAGCATTAACAGGGGCTCGCTACTCTGTGATTGCTCCCTCCCCTAGCCTCCCAGCCAGCCAGGACCTCAGGCACACCTGAGCACACCTGGTGGACCCAGGGCTTCTCATATGGCTTTAGTGTCACCTAGCAGCATCCCATCTCCTGCGGCCACCGTGGCTGGACCAAAATGGTATATCTAGATGAACCAGAGCATTAATTAGTAGGGAATAAATGTGCTCTCTGATAATCATTTTCTTTTCCAGGGAGAGGTCTAGAGACAGACACAAATCACCCCGGAGTAAAGATGGCAGAGGGTCAGAAAAATCTGTCACCATCCAGGCTCCCACCGGAGAGCCCTTGTTGGCAAATGATTCTACTCGGACGGAGGAAGTTCAGGTAAGGCTCAGAGGCCGTAAGCATGCTTTTACTTACCAGGACTCCTTTCCATAAATGTTTTCCTAAGTCTTGTTGCAATAAGTTCTCTTGGGTTTTTATCTTTATTTTTCTAGCATGTTAATTAGTTTATCTATGTCCTGTGGTTTCTTGTTGATCTAAGCACAGCCCGTCCTGCCATCGAGGAGCTTGGGGACTCTTCTGAAGTGTCACTGGTTGGCCTGCTTTGAAGGGTGTTGAAAGGAAGCCAGAAGGTTGACGACAGGGCAGGGAAGGCAAAAGTTACGGGATAAAGTCCCTGGGCACTCAAAAATGGAACCATGTATAAGAGAGGGAAGGAAACGTCATCTCCATAAACCTCAGTAGTGTTGGGAAGAAGGAGGAAGTGGGTAGTCTACCCTGAGTGTTCCCGTTGCCATTGACTACCACGAGAAATAAGGCAGAGACTGCACACCCTGATGCCTGGCAGGGAAACATAAGTGAATTACATCATCCTTGGGCAAAAAGAAGGGACAAAGATGTATCTACAGGCCCCAGATGGGCAGCGATCTGTGTGATACTCGGTGTCACGACCGTGGTAGAGAGCGAAGGAGGTGGTGGCAGACCCGAGAGAGTATTTCCTGTGTCCAGGGCACAGGCCCTCCACACCAAACACTGTTGCTTAGGAACACAGGGTTTCGTGTTACCAGCCCTTGCACTGTTTAAGAAAAGTCAGCAATTTTTTTTTAATCAGAAATCACCTAATTTCAAAATATTGATGATTTATTAATTTTTTGTTTAAAAAAATTTTTGCCATAGGGCACATGCACTTACCAGAGAGGGACAGAGAGAGAGAAAGTAACAGCCCCCTATGCCAAGGGAAGATTGCAACATAGCAGTCTTTTCTCTTCTGTTCTCCTCCTAGGATTTTGGGTATGCACACACATGCATCTGAGGTGATTTTCAAGCTGGCAGGTCCAGGACTCAAACCACAGTTGACCATGTGGAAGTCCATCCCTTAACCACCATGCTACCTCCTGGCCCAATGGTTTATTAATTTTTTTTAATATGTTGTTACATGTTGTTCTTTAGGTCCCAATTGTTTGGTGGTCTACCTGATTTAAATAAACACCTGAGCTATACTCAGAAACAGGTTTGTTTGTAGACCCTCCATACTTCCTAAAGTACTTGCGTGTCCAGTCTTGCCCCAACAAACCATGCAGCATATGCATACACGGCTATAAAGAGAGAGGACCTTGGATAAGCCTATCTCTGTACGTACCTGTAGGCACACAGACAGGCATTGGTTATCAGACAGATGGGCCGAAACTGGAATTCCTCAGGACACACAGTGCTCTTGAACCCGAAGTTGCAGATGTGAGTTGAACATAGGGTTTGCTCAGTGATGAGCAGATGCCTTTTGTAAGCATGGGGATAGATGGGGCTGTCCTAGGATTGAACCATTCTTATGTGCTCTGGGGTATCAGTTTCCTCCTAGATGTATTAGGTCGTCAGAAAAGTCAAGACATGTATTTCTGTGCAAAAATACATCCTGACTTTTGCGGCCACCCAATAGATTCAGAGGTGTTGGTATCCCGCTGTGAAGGCATTTCTTTCGTTGCAGCTTCTCTATGCCCCATACTTACTGAGAAGCAATCCTGGGAAGCTGGTGTTTACGCCAGGGTGATGTGTTGGGAAACGCATTGAAATGGACCTTTGGAGGTAGTATTTCTCAGAAACTCTGTTACCTTGGGCAGTCATTGCCTTCGTAGGCCTTAGTATCATCATTGAAAATGTAGGGGATTAGATTAGAGGATCTGAGATTCTTTTTGTTCTAAAAACCATAGGCTTGAATGGACTCTTCGTACATGTACATTTCTTTAGGCACATATGTCCAAATTCTTAAAATAGACAGGGATTTAGTAAGCAACTCTGGCAGGAAAAAGGATAAGTGGCTAAATCTTGTGGTTATTTGACCACAAGAAAATAGTAATAATTATTTTAGCATTGGTGATCAACTGAATGTCAGGTCTAATATAAAACATGGAATCTAGTATTTGTCTTAATAAGAATGTTATTCTGTAGCTTATGAATCCATCTCATACAAAAACAAGTTGTAGGGACCAGCAGATGGCATAATGGTTACGTCACTGGACTCCCATATAGTCGACCACTGTTCGAATTCTGAATCTGGTGGCTTAAAACTTGTGTCTGGCATGTGTGCATGTGTACCCAAAATCCCAAGAGGAGAATTGAGGAGAAAGGACTGCAGCAGGCCCCCCCCTGGGGGGGGTGATTTCTTACTTTCTGTCTCTGTCTCTCTCTGACTCTTTGGTGAATGCATGCACCCTATAGCAAAAATATCTCTAGAAAAAAGAAAGATAAAGTTGTATGTTTTTGAATTTGTGGCTATTTTTTCCCTTTTATTTTTTTTGTTTTTGTTTTTGTTTTTAAATTGAACTGGGCCAGCCCCATAGTGCAATGGTTACATGCTGTGTAAAGGGAGCTAGATCCTGCCTGGGTGACCACGGTTTGAATCTCATTCCCTATGCCTTAAACAACATGCTTGGTGTGTATGCGTGTGTGTGCTTGCACCTAGATCCTAATGGGATGGAGGAATGGAAGGAGGATTGTAGTGTAACTAGGCCACACTGGGGAGTGCTCTCTCTCTCTCTCTCTCTCTCTCTCTGACGTGCATCTATGCCCTCTATGCCCTCTAGCATATATATAAAAAAATTGAATTAACTTTATACATAGAGAAATGAATAAATCTTAAGATACAGTTTGATGAGTCTTAACAGATGAATACATGCCTATAACCCACACCCCTACCAAGATACATACATATTCCCATCTCTCCACAAGGTCTCTTATGCTCTTCACAGTCAGTCCTTGCCCCCACCCTCACCTCTTCTCCAAGGCAACCACTGTTTTGATTGCTATCACTGTAGATTAGTTTTGCTGTTTTAGAATTTAATATAATTGGAATCATATGGTCTTTTTCCCCCATTTAGCATAATGATTTTGAGATTTATTCATGTTTTGGTGTGTTTCAGCAGTTCATTCCTTTTTATTTTTGCTGAGTACATTCCATTGTATGACTCTGCCACAATTTGTTATCTGTTCTCCTGATGGATGGACCTTAGGGTTGCACTGTGTTTGGCTTTGAATAAAGCTATTAAGAACGTTCTTGGACAAGTCTTCTTGGGGACCTGTATTTTCATTTATGTTGGATAAAGCCTGGGAATGGAATTGCGGGGCCACATAGTGAAGGGTGTATGTAAATTTATATGAGACATTCAGATTGGTTTTCCAGCAGCGTTGTGCCATTTTCCATTTCCACCAGCAGTGTTCCAGGGTCCTGGCTGCTTCTGCCTGTTATCTTACGTACTGATTTCTCCCGTGGTAGGTGATACTTCTGTCTTTTCACAGTGAAGGACCATTTGTTCATAGGTTGGGGCATTCACCATTGCCACTTCTTACACTGGTCTGTATATCTCAGTAATCATCTTTTTTTTTTTTTTATTGTTTCTAGATTATTTGGTTACAAGAGCTCTGTCTTGTTGATTCAGCTATTAAACTAGCTTTTCTAAGCGGGTGTCCTAATTCTGCCCATTTTGCCAGGACATCTGACTGGCTTTGTTTTGGTTTTTAGTAAGTCATATACAGGCACCTCAGTGGCAAAACCTCTTTGGACCCCATGTGGCTCTCCAGTGTCTTCTTGCTGTGTTACAGCTTTGGAATGCAGTCAGAATTGCCTTGTAGCAAAATCATTCAAAACTCTTACAACTGGGTCTTGTTCAATGAACAGACCACCTCCTCCAACTAGCAATGCCTAGAACTTTGAAGAGAGAGAAAGCAAGGAAGTAAACAACATGATGCAAAATCCTAGTTATTTCTGTGCCCCTGGTAATGAGTTTGTCGTGAAAGCCTGTGTTCGGGGAGGATTTGGGGGCTATTCTGGCCGTAGACAGATACTTGAATTCTCTTATCTTGGTCAGTGGAAAATCTAGTATCATCAAGGACTTTCTGGTCTTGATACTTATTAAACAAGTCTTGCAAACATCCTGTGGAGGGTTAGAAAACTGTGTGTCCTAGCTGCAGGAAAGCAGGGACTGGTAGTCTGTAAGTTGGTATAGCAACACCTTTGGCTGTTCAGATCATTAGAGGGTGTGCTAATGCTCCTCGCCTCCAGAAGTTGGACTCAAGGAACCTTTGTAACCCAGTGTGAAGTGGGAGGAAGACCAGGCGTTTTCCTTCTTACTGCCTAGGTTGGCTCTCACGGGCCAGTCTCACAGCAGGGCAGGCAGTCCCAGGTCCCTCAGATCCTCCAGGGCATTCCAGCACAGTGGATGACAGTCAATATTATGTTAGTGCATCTCCCAAACAAAGACTACATTACCTTTTCTTTATTTGAAAAGGTAACTATGTGATGCATTGTTAAAATTTCAATGAAAGTCGTTAAAGTTTAAAGAATTCAGCCAACCTTCTGTTTCCTAGAAAGGCCTGGTGTGGTGTTGGGGGCATGAGGTTGGGCCCTTCATGGTTGCCGCCTCTCTTTGTGGCTGTGACAAATGACTTGTTTCCCATGGCCGTTGTCCTCATTGCCTTCTCCCCACCAGGATGACAACTGGGGCGAGACCACCACGGCCATCACAGGCACCTCTGAGCACAGCATATCCCAGGAGGACATCGCCAGGATCAGCAAGGACATGGACGACAGTGTGGGGCTGGACTGCAAACGCTACCTGGGCCTCACCCTCGCTGCCTTCCTGGGACTTCTAGTCTTCCTCACCCCCATTGCCTTCATCCTGCTGCCCCCGATCCTGTGGAGGGACGAGCTGGAGCCTTGCGGCACCATTTGTGAGGGCCTCTTCATTTCCGTCTCATTCAAACTCCTCATCCTGCTCATTGGAACCTGGGCACTTTTCTTCCGCAGGCAGAGGGCTGATGTGCCCCGGATCTTTGTGTTCCGTGCCCTTCTGTTGGTCCTCATCTTTCTCTTTGTGGTTTCCTATTGGCTCTTTTACGGAGTTCGAATTTTGGACTCTCGGGACCGAAACTACCAGGGCATTGTGCAGTATGCCGTCTCGCTGGTGGACGCCCTGCTCTTCATCCATTACCTGGCCATCGTCCTGCTGGAGCTGCGGCAGCTGCAGCCCATGTTCACGCTGCAGGTGGTCCGCTCCACCGACGGCGAGTCCCGCTTCTACAGCCTGGGACACCTGAGGTAAGGGGAGCAGAGGGCCCGCTGGCACCTTGCTAGGAGACAGTCGGCCTGTGGTATGTGAGGGGCAATGTCAGGTGCCCAGTGCCAAGTCCAGGGACCAAGTTCTCTCTGGTTTGGGGAGGAACTGTGTGAGGACGGGGGTGCATGAAAGTGATGGGGATGTCCCTGGGCATTCACATTCTGGACCTGTGAATGGGCAGAGAAGTTCTGGTTCTCATCCAGGTCAGGATTTTGCTGAGCCTGTTCGCAAAGTAGTTGTTGGCAGCTCCCAAAAAACGATAGTGAAAGAGTATGCCTAAGGATGGCTTACCTTGACCCTGAAATTGGCCTATGGATGTAGATACATAAGGTGACCAGGAGTTTAGTTGCCCAAGCTTGACTCCACTGGTTTACCTTATTCCTTAGTGGGCCTTTCCACCCCCCACTTTCTGAGGTATCCTGGCTTGGGCAATAAAGTACACGGCTACTCTGGTGATCTGCTGATAAAGAATCAAGTATGGCCTAGAGATTCCGTAAGTGCCAAGACTGAGTATTTTGCAAATGTATGCATGAGAAAGTGCTAGAAGGCTACTGAGATGCCGTATTTTAAATCTGTGCATAAAGTTTAATTATTTTGTGTTTAACTAAACAGTGATAGCCATCATTTATTTTATTTTTATTTATTTCAAGATAGGCACTTAACACAGCATGCATATTCAGTATTCACATAACCCTGTAATATAAATAGTATGGATCCCTGTGTTACAGATGCAGAAACTGGGGTTTAGAGAGTTTAAATAATTTGCATAAAATAATATGGTTAGCCTTGTTTAGGATTCACTCAGATGTCACGAGGCCTGGGCTGAGTTAATTCCTCATTATGACATCTCTCACTTTATGTTAAATGGCTTTTTCATTTTTTTTTTTTTTAAGTTTGTTTCTTGCATGAGAGGACAAGGGAGAGAGACAGGCAACACCAGCGGGGTCCTTACACTGTGACCCACCCCCACCCAGCCTCAGCCAGGCAGTGTCATGGGCACGCCAACACTCACCTGGCATGTACATGGAGACAGGATACGAACCTGGGACCTTCCCAGGTGACCTCAGCATTGGGAAGTGTTTCGTTTCCACCACTCCACCGTGGTTAGCCCTAGTGGCCTATTTTTCCATCTGTTTTCTTTCCCATACTGAATTCTCTGTGGATAGAAGCTGTGTCTCATTCCTCATGGCATTCTGAGTGCCTAGCACAGAGCAGGCACACAGTTGGCACTCAGGGAGTCACTGTGCATAAATAACCTGGACTTGGGGCTGGCAGGTGGCATGGTGGTTAAGGGCGCTAAACTCCCACGTGGCTGACCACAGTTCAAGTCCCAGACTTGGTGGCTTGCTTTCTCACTTTTCCTCTCTCTCTTTTTCTCACTCTGTCCCTCTCTGGTCAAATTAAAGTAAATAAAGTTAAATAAAATAATTCTTCAAAAATAACTAACTAACCAGGGACCCGACATCGCAGCCTTGGCCCGCTCCTTGGACTCTTCTCCCTCCTTAGGTAGCACATGCTTGGCACATGGTAGACACTTAGTTCATTCTAGCTGTTACTGCTGTGATTTTGTAGCTGGCAAAGCAGCCAAGGTCAGCCAGGGCACCTGAGTGGGTATCAGAACAATCTGTCATAGTTTTGTCCAGGGCCCAGGGAGGTAGCCCAGCCTTGGTTTGGAGTCAGGTCACACTGCCAAATCATCTTCGTGATCTTCATGTTGGCACACACCTCCTTCATTCCTCCGGCTCAGCTCATGCTGCCGAGGACCGGATGACTTAGTGTTCAAGGTTGCCGCCACCCTGATTCTTGGCGGGAGTCAGTGTCTGGTCACAGGCTCTATGCAGCATAATTTGGTATTTTGAGTCCTTTACAGACACCTGTAGGACTCTAGAGGCTGGCAAGTCTCTGCTGTGTGTTGATCTCAGACAGCTTTCTTTCTGACAGCAGACTCACATTGCACGGCTACTAGGTGCAGAGCCCAGGACTCGGCCCCAGAGACACACGGCGGCTGTCTTCAGAGCTTGGGGGCTCATGGTGCCCTGCTTGGAGAGAGACCACTGTACCACTGTCTAGTGGCTGGTTGCCAAAACAGCCCTGGGCACAGGTGATGGAGACATAGGAGGATGGGGAATTTTAGACAAGTCAGTGATAAAGCCCAGTGGGAAACAATTTGTCTCAAAATAGGTTTTGCTGAAGTTAAAGCAGTGGGAAGAAATCCGTCTGTGGTCACACAGAGATGACTAATATTTGGGACTCTGTGTAAATGTTAGTAGCCAAGACACTGGCCAGGAGTGAGGCCTGCCGTCTATCTGTTCTTTGTCGTTGGTGTGACTCCCACCAGGCAGGGGGGAAGGGAAAGAATGTCTTCTCACCTTGGTGGCCCAGGGTGGTGGGACTGACTTCCCTCCGCCAGCTCCCACATTGCTCATCCCTCTGAGAATGGGTGATCTGAGTGGCGGTGGGAAGGGGGACTGACCAGCCCCAGGAAAGCAGGCTATGGCACACTCGGCACAGGTACCTGGTGGCTGACCTGGTGTCTTGCCACACAGCCGTGCTGCTAGAACTGGGGGAGGAGCCAGGCTGACTGCATCGGCTCCCAGCTGGCTACAACCTCATAGTCTCTTCTCACAATGACCAAAAACCACCCTGACTTTATTTCTCAAAGCAAAGCCCCAGGGAAACATAGAGGTGGCAGGTGTCCTACAGCCCCTGGGGGAACATTTTAAGGTGGCCCTCCAGGTTCTTCCTTTCAGCTCCTCATTGTGTCTGTCTGTCTTCCTCCTCTCCCTGCCTCTACTAAGGCCCCTTTGTCCTGGCTGTGGAGACTCTGGGTGATGGGATGGAAGCACTCACTGGGGAAGGAGAGACAGCTTTGTGTCAAATAGAGCCCTCAGGCAGGCTGGGTGCTGGGGAACCACCAGTCTGGAGTTGGGGCAAGCTTGGCATCTCTCACCGGCGTTGTGTAAGCTCGGACACCCGCCGATCCTGGGCTAAATCTGGCCTCAACCCAGCAGTAGCTGGGACAGTCATTGGGCCAGAAATACAACTTCGAAGCCCTTTTGTAAAGTGCAGGAACAGGAGGGAAGGGGCTATGGGAACAGACAGAGCGAGCCTTGGAGACCAGAATAGAAACCAGGGTTACAGGCCGTTCTGTCTGCCTTTATTTCAAGCCTCTGTGGCAGCAGCGACCTGGGGGCTTGGGTGCAAAGCAGCAGAGCGTTCTTTTTTCTCTTTTCAAAGGCGATTTGATTGAATTTACTGAGAGATTTTTGAGAGTTGTTAAAATGCCGTCACTTTAGTTTCTCACAGAAAATAGGCCTCCCGTTAGCTCTCATAAAAGGTACTCGCGGCAGCTCTGCTTGT